AAAAAAATTTTATGAAGCTAAAACTGCAGTAGAATATTTTTAAAACGAATAAAAACGGTATGCTGGTATTACCGTGGTTGTGTACCTATTACCGTGTACGTATTACCGCGGATGTATAGGGTTATGTTTACGTACGCTCACCGCGGAAATACGTACACAATCAGTTAATGAGCGCGTTGTACCGAATACCGTGGAAAATAATTATTTACTCAAAATATACACAAATATTTCTGTTTGAATTGCATCTACATTAACGTCATTTTAGATTATTAAAATTGAAAAATTATTTTATATGAAACATTTCTTATTTTGAGCAAGTAATCATCAGTTTTTCAAAATCCACGGTAATAGGGCAGAGCACGGAGATAGGTACACTTACCCCTAGTAGGTATTAATCTATTAATTATCAGTTATTAGTTATCCAGCCTTTGGGTCAATAGACACACACACACACACACACACACACATTTTCGATGACTATGCAATCTAGTGTATTCTATAAACATTGTTTTAAATTGAGTACTTGTAAATTTACTGGGGCTGTGTTTGCATAGGCTCCGTTTGTAGTGTGTTAAGGTCACGTGATCATTTATGATAAGTGCGAGTGAGACGGTGATATCATGCTGTCTCCCTCGCACTTATGATGAATGATCACGTGACCTCAACAGGCGAATTGAAGATCAAGTTACCGACCAGTGGAAACGGATCAAAGTGTCACTGGCTGTGTTCGCCTAAGGCTTTGTTTGTTATTAAGTATGTTAAGGTCACGTGATTATTGATCATTAGTGCGAGGGAGATAGCATGATATCTGTCTCACTTGCACGTATCATAAATCATCACGTGACCTTAACATACTACAAACGGAGCCTATGCAAACACAGCCCCAGTAAATTTACAAGTACTTAATTTAAAAAAATGTTTATTAAATGGGTTTACACTGGATTGCATAGTCATCAAAAAATGTGTGTGTGTGTATGTGTGTGTGTGTATTGACCCAAAGGCTGGAAAACTAATAACTGATAATTAATAGATTAATACCTACTAAAGTTTTCTATTCTGATAAATATTTTGTAGAACCCGCTGTACGGAGAAAACGACATGTACCGAACAACAGGAACGGAGCACTGGACTAAAAGTCACTAGACAAAAGTTACTAGACTCTCTCACTCAATAATTAAATTCATTATTTACAAACTTTGTGACATTTAATTACATTAATTTATATACCTTCGTAATCCGCAAATGAGGAGGAATTGAATCTTACAGGTAGTATTGGATTTTAACCCAATTTAGCACTTAAAACAAAGTTTTTTATACTTCAGCGCCGCGCCTATTTTTGACTTTTTATTTTGCAAATATCTCGCAAACTATTGATCCGCAAATAAAAATTCAAGTGGAGGATGAATCCGCAAGTAAGGAGGAGTCGTTTAAGCCCTGAATGGGTGCAAAAAATTAATATTTAATATTTATAGGCACCAACTTCACAAGTCTCTGTGAAATAGTAAATATTCACTATTCTTTCAAGTTAACGATTCACTATTTCAATTAGTTGTTGAAACTTTTGTTGGTAGTACTTGAAAAGTGTATACGAATTGTGCAATTACCTTCATTTGGATCAAAATATTTTATCGGATTACTAATAAATAATTAAAATTAAAATTCGTACCGATTGGGTGCCAATGAGCGACCCTCATTTGTTACTATTTCGTTAGCGAAAATCATGTTTACTTGCGCAAATAGTGAAATTTTCACTATTATAAATTTAGAGAGTGCCTTTTTACAGTTCAGTCGTTTTTTTGTTTAGTTTATCTTAAGTTATTGTATTATTATTAATTGAATTTATTAGTTATTTATTTGATAGCCTGATCACAAAGTCGTAAATACACTTGTGTCGCAAATTGTGGTTCATCGTAGTGTCGTTTATTACAGTTTTAGACGCATCGTAAATTCAACTTACCACGCGTAATAAATGACACGTCCATCCCTGGTTGTGAGTGGTGACTGGGCCGACTTCATGTTCTGTTCTGTTTTTTATCATTCTCTGAGACGCCGATATGCCATATTAAGGGCCGACTGCATGGTTGGGTGATTATTTCAAAGATTCAAAGGTAAGTTTGGTTACATTTGTGTCCAGAGACATTGAAAGACTATGGGAGTGTGTTCTTGATTAATGTACGTGCCGATGGATAACAATTATAACGGTAATTCTATCAGTTGACAAAAGTATGCATAAGTGATGACATGCAACTATTTTCAATACTGCCATTTCCTTATCAACAATTCTTGGTAACTCGTGTCTTCTTTTGCGTTGTTTTGTCGCACTCAAGACAATTTTGTATTATATTTTTGTACGACATCGTTCCAGTGATCGACTTGTGTGTGGACAATACACTGAATGCTTAAAGAAAAGTGTAGTAATCTCATATGCTAAATCGTTTTTCGTTAAGAGCGCAACGTTATCAAACATGCCATTTTATCACATAATTACATTAAACCATGTAGCTACGATTCAGACATTTTACATTGTACAGCAAACAGTACTGACTGTAGTGGTGATAGGATGTACCAGATAAATATTCTAAAATACTTATATCGAGCCCAATACTATCTCAGCTTGAGCGATCTATTCCATCAAAAGTGTGTAAAATTGGAATGTGTTATTATGAATGAATAAACACTTATTAATATTATGTAGGGGTATAAAATATCCGTGGACCTACTGTCATAACTACCTAAATTTAAATTAAACTTGTACGCGTATAAAATCTGCTTTACTAATTAAAAATTGAGAAAATCAATTTGACAGCACCCATTAACATGTATACAGAATTTTTTTCATAACATGGAATAGTGCATCCGTATTTTGTCTTCTAAGTTTTTCTATTCTCATGCCTTAGCTCTAATTTTTTTTTTGATAAACAGAAGCTGAAAACTTCTGTACTCCTATCTGTCACTAATAATTGCCCTAAATAAGGAGAAAATAGCTGATCAATCTTCGATATTAACAGCTTGGTCAAATACTCAGTCTTTGAATAACTACCTGATCCAATTTAGCAATTGTGGCTAACGCTGCTTAACTTTGTGGATCGAAAAAGCTGCAACATTTCTGTTGTGCCGTCATTTTAATAAAAAATGTGCTGATAAAAATTACACCTCAACTTTCTATGTGTGCAAAGAACGTAATCTGTTTCACCAAGAATATGGCACTTTACTTTTTTCAGGTGAACAGTTGTTGAAAAAACATGTCTTTACCTCCCTATATATTGGGCCCAAACCCTTGGGCACAAATGATGGCCCAGCAACAAGCACAAGCACAGTTAGCAGCTGCTCAGGCTCATGCTCAGGCAGCTGCTCAAGCCCAAGCAGCTCATCATGCTCATATGCAGGCGATGCAGCAAGGGCAAGTAGCAGCTGCAGCAGTAGTGGCTGCAGCAGCAACAGCAGGACTTCCTTTGCTACAACCACTGCCAAAACAGCCTGAAGTTATTTCTGAAGACAAACTGCAGGAAAAAGGTACATCCATCAATATTGCTCTAATTACTGTAGTATTGAAATTAATGTCTGAAAATTGCAACTGGCTAGTCAAAATATTTTCTGTTAAGTGATTATTTAAGTATTGGAAGTGCATAGCTGCCAGACTAGTTTAGAGTTTTTATTGAGTAATGCAATAGTTATTTTTTTTTTTTTTTAATTACATATTTGTCATTCACACTATTTAAATAAATGCATGCATTTAGTATGGATCGATGTCTTTTAGAAAAAAACTTTGCATACATGATTGTCAGTGCGAGTATGTAAAATGTGTAGTTGCATTAAAATGAATATCAATATTTTTAAAGCTCTACAGTGGCAACAACTACAGTTAAAACGTTTTGCTGAAAAACGGAAGTTTGGTTTCGTCGATGCTCAGAAAGAAGACATGCCTCCCGAGCATATTCGTAAAATTATTAGAGATCACGGTGATATGAGTAGTCGTAAATATAGACATGACAAACGTGTCTACTTAGGGTAAGTTGAACATCATCCAATTATTTTTTGTTCAATAAGATTCTTTTTCTTTTTTTTTTTTTTGTTTTTCACAATTTTTATTTTTAGAGCTCTCAAATATATGCCGCATGCCGTGATGAAATTATTAGAGAATATGCCTATGCCATGGGAACAGATAAGAGACGTTAAAGTTTTATATCATATAACAGGAGCAATAACTTTTGTTAATGAGATACCATGGGTTGTTGAACCTGTTTACATTGCACAATGGGGGTAAATAAAAAAATGTAATAGCCACATTTTCAATATATTTTTTACTACAATATTAACATAACTTGAATTATTATAGCACCATGTGGGTTATGATGAGGCGAGAAAAACGTGACCGTAGACATTTTAAAAGGATGAGATTCCCACCATTTGATGATGAAGAACCTCCACTAGATTATGCAGATAACGTTTTGGATGTTGAACCGTTAGAAGCTATTCAAATTGAGTTAGATCCAGAAGAAGATCAATCTGTAGTCGATTGGTTCTATGAGCACAAACCTCTTGTTGGCAAAGGGTAAGTTAAAAAGTACATGACATAAATATCCTATTCTGTCTTAAAAGATTTATTGTCACGTGACTTGAACGTTTTTTTGTTTATTCTGTGATTAAACAAGACTTGTGAAGAGGGGGTGGATTTAATAATTAGTTTTAAAAACGCAGTTGAAAAAGATAATTTATGAATTAATTAAAATTGTATAATGTAAGATAACTAAATAATTGATATTTCTGAATTTAAATAGATCAAATTGTTCAATAATAAAGATTATTTTTACTATTAATCTTGTTAAATCGAAGTAATGATTAAAATAATAAATTAGTCTGCTTTAAAATTATCTGTAGTTAAATAAAATTTGATTTGTTTGTACTCTCAAATACATTTGTCATTTTGAGAGCTAGTATTTTACATCAGAAAGCTAAAATCTTGAAGTATTTGTTATGGTAATTTAAATTAAAGGATTGTTGATACAAGTCAGAAGGATCCGCATGATAGATAGCAAGAAAATTAATTTTTTTCATTCTTAACACCATGAAAAATGTAGGAAACTTTGTTTGGTTGCATTCGCTACGTGCACAAGCTGAAAAAACGATCGCAGCAATACCTCTGCTAATATGTGAAACTAAACGATAGGTTTGTCTTCTGCTAGCAGACTGCTAAGCATTACTATCATCAGAAAGTTATGTGTTTATACATCGACAACCATTCTAAGGGTTAAATTTTTAATAAAATTATGAGTAGTATGTACATATTTTACTTAGGCATGTTCATTAAAAAACGCAATGAAATACATTGGATACTGTGTATTTCTTAGAGTTTTTAGCTGGGGCCTGATCCTCTAAGCGTATCGTATGAACGTGTGTACATACTGTGTGAACACGCCGGTATAGGGCTAACGGAGCTCTCTGATTGGTCAGAGGAGGTCTGTGTTGACTACATTGCAAACTAATAAAACATATCTCGTATCACACAGTACACGGACTTGTGTTGAAGTAATACTCAAGCGCTTATAGTGCTTGTAGTACAAATTTTGTCTTCAGTTATTCACATAGGATTGTACCACTTGAGACATTGTATTAATTCGTGATATAATAAGCACATAACCTTTCGTGTATCTATCGAGGTGCTGTGTTCCTATAGGTATCAAGCACATATCGCGAATATTGCCTTCTGCTGTGTCAGACCAATAGTTCTCGTTTTTCCCTAGGATGGCGCTGCTTCAAAATTGTGCACATAGCGAATATAAAAATTGAATATCGAAATAGAACAATATTCGTAAATGTTAACCAAATCAAATAACAGAATAATTATAGAGCGGCTTTGTCTCAGTGGCAAGCGTGTTTGTAACTGATACAACGCTGTTCTAGTAGTCGTAGGTTGTATTCCCGGTAAATGCAGCTTTTTTCAAGAACTGTTTTCATCGGGAAAAGTTCCTATGTAACCCTGGCTGTTTCGGGGCGGATTTTTCCGTAGAATTTTCCTTCAGAGTAATGCGAAACAGTGTTAGGGCTATATAGCTAGGAGTTAGCGAATCCGATGCGCCAGGCAGGGATCGCCGACCTTACCGGCGAGGAGTGGTCCCTGAAACATAGAGTTTCACCGGGAATGCTAATTAGCCTGGATCCGATGCTTCAGCAGAGAGCGATGGCTTAACCGGCGAGGAGTGGACGTCCTGAAATATGGAGTCCTCTCCGCGGAAAGGCTATACAGTGGAGAGTGGACCCGATGCACTATTGATGTCAGCTTAACTGGCAAGGTCTTTCACTGCACGGAAAAAAGACTGGCACGGCACCGCGCCCTGCAGGAACACTGTCCCGCCAAAACACACTGAACGCGGCACGCCTATTGCCTAAGTGCGCCGCTCGCCACTTCAGGGCTCACAGCAAGCCCTGACAAGGCGAGCTGACTGGCTCAGTTGACTGTCAAGTCTGATACTACTATTAAATGTGGTGTATACATGAATACATAGATCAGCTCCCGCTCATCTATTCAGGGCTTGCTGTGAGCCCTGAGCTTGGATGAGCAGCGATCCAAGCTGTAGGGCGTTCTGTCTTCTTTCTCAGTGGAGAGCTGCCGTGCTAGTCTTTTTCCCGTTCGGAGATACTCGCTCCAGGCGCCCATGGATTAGGTTTAACATGAGTAAAAAGGGTTGGAAATGGGTGCGGCAATACACCCCCACACAGAGGTGGTGAGTGGGTGGTCCCGGCGACTAGGTCAGTACGCTGTCGCGGTAACCCGAAAAAAAAAAAATAATAATTACAGCCTGCGAAGTGCATCTAACTTGATTTGGTAAAAAAAGTATCAATTTCTACAGATTTTAAAAGTGCTCATTATTTTTATGTATTACATATAAACTTTAAGTCCCTATTCTGTAACATGTAAGGCAAGGAAAAAGATATTGAGGCTCCATCGTAGCATCGTTAAATGGCAAGTAAGTATTGTCTTTGAACGCAATTACGAAACAACGCCCTCATCGAGCAACTTGATAACTACTTCATGGCCCGAAGAATTTTTCGATCTTATGTTTTCCAGTAGAGGAAAAAATCGGTTATACCAGTACAGAATTTCCCCAGAAATACGGGAAAAATAACAGTCTCAATCAAAAGTCGGCTTCATGTATTTATTTAATAGTTTATGTAAAAATGACAATTTCTTATTTAGTTTTTTTGCTCATATCTCTGCTTCCATTGCTCTTAGTGAAATTTTTCGATCATCAATCGCTTTGTCTTAAAATTCTCATAACATAAACATTTTGGCAAATCCATAATTTATTGTTACTAACACGTTTAATGGCAAGAAAGCGCGGAAAATAATTATGTATACCGAAAAATGTTTGATCGACGTAAAAAAAAAAACTATTATGTTATTTTGAAGATAACTGTAAGAAAATATAGATATTAAGTTTCATAAAAAATCGCTATGTGTAAAATTGCAAAATAATTGTTAGTTTTTTGTCAATTTATTTTTTAAAGTAAAACTTCGAAGTGTCATTACAAACTTCACAGTCGATTTATTAACATTTCGCTTCGGCAAAAACATTGTATTTAATGTTAGTAGTGATATCATATTAAAAAAAAAGATTATTGTGAATTCTGAAGTTTAGCCATCAAACATCTTATGTTGCAGCTTAAACAATAGCTAATATTTCAGTCAATTTTGCATACTTTTTTCCCAACAAGTGTCATTGCATTTCTCACAAAAAAAATTAACGCCCTAGCTTAAGCTGAAGCCAAGACACAAGAAATTAGTGTTTTTTGTAATAACAGACTGATAACTAAATTATTTATTACAAAAAATTGTGTATAATCTTTATGTATTTCTGTATCACACTGCCAGAGCACTTTATCAATGTCATTGATAAAATGTATGAAAAAAAAAAAAATGTTAGCTCTACTTTTAAGTGTCCACAGTATTAGACAAATAGAAATCTTGATTTTCAGGGTATCAATTTTTTATTGTAAATATGCGTTTTTATTGTAAATACAAAAAACCGTAAGCAAGTTTCTTGTTTCAGCCCAAGTTAAAGAAAAGCGATTAAAGGAATGATAAAAATGTATTAGTAATATTACTGTGAATTATTACTTTATTATAAACTAATATTTTTGTTCAGTAATATTGTTTAGCCTTGATAGAAATTGTTTTGTGTATACTTGAACAGCTGAGCACTTGAGTATCTCAAAGGCTTCTCTCACTTCTCCCTAGTTCGCCAGCAGATGGTGTTAGCGCTATGTTGTCAATCCCAATACGTACGAGCTTTAGTAGACGAAAAAAATTTTCCGTGTAGTCGCAAGAGAGGGGTAAAGATGGGATTGCTGAGCTGTCCTGGCTGTTACAATACGACTTTCTTGATTTTTTTCTAGCTTCCTTATTTATGAAATTGATATGGTGCCTTCAGCAGTATAATGAAAAAATACATGAAGATGATACACAAAATTTTTTGTAATAAGAAATTTAATCATCAGTCCGCTACTGCAAAAAACGACAAATTCTTGTATCATTTTTTATTTTATTTTATTCTTTTTATGACAAATTCAATGACGTTTTTTGGAAATAAAGTATGCAAAATTAACTGAGATATTAACAACTGTTACAAAATAAAATTTTTGGCAGAAACACATCAGAATTACAAAAATCAATTTTTTTCATTTAATATTATTACTTACATTATATACAATGTTTCCACCGAAGCGAAATGTCCGTACACCGACCATGAAGTTTGTGATAACACATTGAAGTTTCATGTCGAATAAATAATTAAAGAAAAACTAACAATTATTTTGCAATTTTACAAATAGCTAATTGTCGTGCAACTTCATATCTTTATCTTTTAAAGGTTATGCTCGAATCAATACGATAATTTTTCCTTAACCTAAATCGAAAGTATTTCAGTAAAAAAAATTTTTTCTGCACTTTCTTGCCATTAATGTGTTATTTACAATAACTCGTGGATTCTTCTTAGTGTCTGTGCTGTAGGAAGTTTGATGACAAGGAGATAAGTGGTCGATAAATTTCTCTAAGAGTAATAGAAGCGGAGATATAAGCAAGAAACTAAAAAAAAAAATTGGCTTTTTTTCCGTAGACTATTAAATAAATAAATGAAGCCGACTTTTGATTTGGACAAAAAGGTTTTTCCTGTATTTTTGGGAAAATTCTATAGGAGAATGATCCATTTTTTCTCTACTGTAAATCATAAGATTGAATCGTATTTTTTTCTATCGCCAGGCAATGGTCTAAATAGTTAGTTTTGATTAGAAAAGGAAAGTACTACGTATCTTATGTAAGTGTTCATATAGTTTATAACAATACCTCTAAATAAATGTTAGTTTCTCTTTTTCTATTCCAAAAAGAAGAATTCTTAATGAGAATCGGATAGTATCGAAGTATTATAAAAAAATAAGGATACCCAAAGATGTTCATAAAGATATTAAATACGTAACAAAATGGGAGCTTTATTTATCATTAGTTCTTTTAAGTAATTTTTAAGTGATAAGTAAGACATAGTGTAAAAATACTGGTAT